TATAGTTATTAATAGTCGTATAAGTTAATAGTCGTATAAGTTAATATACACTACCGGTCAAAAGTTTGGGTTTAGTTTGTTTTTTTTGCAGTTTTTTTTGTTTAAAGAAATGTATTCTGTTCATAAAGGCTTGTTTGTTAATTGTTAAATATTTCAAAAAATTTTAAATAACTGCTTTATTATTGTATGTAGTTTTAAATGAAATTATTACTCCCCTCATTATGTCTTTTATTACTATTATCATTGATAATAATGGGTGGTGCAGTGGTTAGTGTTGCCTCACAGCAAGAAGGTCGATGGTTCAAGCCTCGGCTGGGTCAGTTGACATTTGTGTGACATTTGTGAAGTTTGCATGCTCTCCCCCTGTTGGTGTGGGTTTGCTCCGGGTGCTCCGGTGTCCCCCTAAGTCCAAAGACATGCACTAGGTGAATTGGGTATGCTAAATTGTTCGTAGTGTATGTGTATGGGTGTTTCCCAGTGATAGGTTGCATCTGGAAGGGCATTCGCTGTGTAAAACATAGGCTGGATAAGTTGGCAGTTCATTCCACTCTGGCAACCCCTTAATAAAGGGACTTAGCCGAAAAGAAAATGAATGAATGAATGAATGAATTAATTATTAAAAAAATAAATAACTAACAATAACAACAACAACAACAACAACAACAATAATAATAATAATAATAATAATAATAATAATAAGAGTGATTTCTGAAAGATCATGTGACTCTGAAGACTGGAGTAATAAAGCTGAATATTCATTTTTAAAATCACTGTAATAAATTAAAGTTAAAAGCTAAATTATAAACTACTTTTGTACAGTTATTTCACAATTTTACAATTTGTACTTTTTTATTAAATAAATGCAGCCTTGGTAACAGGAGAAGCTTATTTTAAAACATTTAAAAATCCTACTGACCCCAAACTTTTGAGCGGTGGTGTATATATAGTTTTATATATTTTAGTTAACAATTTATCAATATGACTCTTTTGTCAATTTTATTACTTTAATGTGTAAAGAAAAGTTTCAATCAAATTTATTTAAGATTTTTGTATTTAATTTTAATTACTTTTGGCAATAAATAGCAATACAATAAATGAAATAATGTTACATTTTTTCCAGTTGATTTTTATTAAAAAATTGTTTTAATAAAAAATAACTTTTTATATTTTAGTTAATAAATATACATGTATATATATATTTGTTATATATACAGTTAAAGTCAGAATTATTAGCCCCCCTGACTTATTAGCACCCCTGTTTATTTTTTTCCCCAATTTCTGTTTAATGGAGGGAAGATTTTTTCAGCACATTTCTCAAGCATAATAGTTTTAGAAACCTATTTCTAATAACTGATTAATTTCATCTTTGTCATGATGACAGTAAATTATATTTTACTTGATATTTTTCAAAACACTTCTGTACAGCTTAAAGTGACATTTAAAGGCTTAACTAGGTTAATAAGGTGAACTAGGCAGGTTAGGGTAATTAAGGAAGTTATTGTATAACGATGGTTTGTTCTGTAGACAGTCGAAAAAAAATTTGTTTAAAGGGGCTAATCATTTTGTCACAAAATTGGTTTAAAAAAAAAACTAAAAAAAAAAAAAATTTAAAAACGGCTATTATTCTTGCTGAAATAAAACAAATAAGACTTTCTCCAGAAGATATTTTGGGAAATATTAAAAAAAAAAATAAAAAATCCAAAGGGGGCTAAAAATTCTGACTTTGACTTTATATATATATATATATGTGTGTGTGTGTGTGTGTGTGTGTGTGTGTTTTATGTTGTTTTAAACGCTATATCTTATGTTTATTACAGTGTCTATTATTTTAAAGTTTATTATAAAGTCGTCATTATGTACTTAAACATTTGCCAATAACCGAAGCGTTTCCTTAGGATCAAGTCTTAAGAAATTCACCTGATTATTTTATTATACGTTACATGACTAAAATTAAATCTGTGTCAATTCATGTTTAAGTGCTCATCTTTGTGTGTTATACTGTACTTTCCAGGTGGAGATTGTGACCCACACCGGCCCCCACAGGAGACTGTGGATGGGCCCTCAGTTTCAGTTCAAGACCATCCATCCCTCAGGTCAGACCACCGTCATCTCCTCAAGCTCCTCTGTACTACAGTCGCAGGGGCCCAGCGACACCCAGCAGCCTCTTCTTGATTTCGACACAGACGACCTGGACCTGCACAGCCTCAGGTGCCGCTGCTAAACACACAGTCACACACAACACTGCTCACATTACCAGCCACCATCATCAACACCAAGTTCAAAATCTGACAGCGTAGACTCAGGTTACTAACCACAGAACGCCACTGGATACACAGATTGACCAACTTTAGAGCAGCACTCTCTGAGCAGCACACTGTGAATACTTCAACTGTCTGTCATTCCTCCATTTCTTTATTCCAGTAGTTTGTCTGTCAGTCTGTCTGTCTGTCTGTCTGTCTGTCTGTCTGTCTGTCTGTCTGTCAGTCTGACTGTCTGTCTGTCTGACTGTCTGTGTGTGTGTGTGTGTGTGTGTGTGTGTGTGTGTGTGTGTGTGTGTGTGTGTCTGTCTGTCTGTCTGTCTGTCATTTTGCCTATAGGTCTGTATTTTTTTTTTGTTATTCTGTCATTCAGTCGTTCTATTTGTCTGTCTGCCGCTCTGTCATTCTGTCTGTAGTTCTGTCATTCGGTCTGTCATTCTGTTGTCATTCTGTCATCTATCCTTCTATCTGTCCTTCTATCTATCATTCCATCCATCCATCCATCCATCTAGATATCCATCCATCCGTCCGTCAGTCTGTTAGTCCGTCTGTCTGTCCGTCTGTCCGTCTGTCCGTCTGTCTGTCTGTCTGTCTGTCTATCTATTTATCCTTCTTTCATTCTTTTGTTCTGTTTAATTTGTATCTCTATCATTCCACTTTGTTCCTGTGTTCATTCTATTTGTCATGCAGTTTGTTTAATCTACTGTTCTATCTCTAAGTCTTTCTATGTATCATATATCTGTCTGTTGTTCCGTAATTTATTCCTTTCTACTATATATATACACGCATGATCGCGTTCATCAAAATTGCTTAAACTAAGCATTCTAAAGTATGACTGTATTTCACAAGGATTCTGACACAACAACGCGAAGCAGACGCTTCTTTTGCATTTAAGGAGGAAACACGTCAAACTTAATGACACATTGGAGCGCACGTGCTGAAAGGCAGAGAAATGACAACTCGCGACTTCATCTGACACATTCTGAGTACTTGTACATGGACACCAATACTCCGATTTTAATGTGATTAAGATAATACACTTATTAAGAGTCTACAGTGTAACCAGCAATTTTTTATCTTAAAGGACCACGAGTCACAAAATGCAGAGGTTTTTCTTTCCGTTCACCATGCGTTAAAACAGAAGGCGAAAGTAAAAAATGTAACACCCCAAATTGCATGAAACTCTGGATAGCCTGGTGATGCGACATTCATTCATTAATTTTCTTGTAGGCTTAATCCCTTTTATTAACAGGGGTTGCCACAGCGGAATGAACCGCCAACTCATCCAGCAAGTTTTTTAAGCAGCGGATGCCCTTCCAGCCGCAACCCATTTCTGGGAAAGTGATGCGACATTAATTGTTTTATACTGAAACTTGCCTTCAAAAACTGCTTTCTTGGTCTTGTCCATATTTTTTTGCATGTTAAACACACGTCTACCACAACAGGTAGAAAAAAATTCAAAAAAATGCAACTGCGTTAATTGCGTAAATTTTTTTTTACGCGTTATAATATATATATATATACTGTGAGTGCCAATCTTTCATTCTATTTCTTTCTGTTTGTTATGTGTTCATTTATTTCTATGTTCGAATCATTCAATCTTCGTTTTATTACAGTTATTTTTACGTTTTTTTTCCCCTAATCACATTCTATGCGTGTGCAATACATTATGCTTTTCAAAGACTTTTATTTTTGGAGGTTTATATAGACTCTGACATTGTGGGGTTTTTGAACTATGAAACTTTAAATCCCATTTTCAAATGTGCTGTATGTGTTTCAGTCCCGAAAATGGTCTTGAAATTAGCAACCATTATCACTTAATGCTGTTGCTAATGCTACTGTTATTATTTTTTTTCAGAATTCAGCCAGTTCGTTCAGAGCCTGTTAGCATGCCTGGTTCCTCCCGCCTGGTGGCTGATCGCAGAGGCCAATCTACAGTAATAGATACCGGCTCAGGTAAGACCACTGGTCTTTTCCACTAGATCTGAAGCTCTTCAATCCAAACAACCCTTGTCAGCGTGATGAATCTGCATGTGCTTTTCACATGACTCAAGGTCCTTTTCAATCAGTTTGGCTGCGTATAATACGATTTTATGTGCTTAAGTTTCATGGTATGCTAAACAGAGACTATTGCAACCTGTCTGAAAAAAGAGAAAATAGGCTTACTCTGACCTTTGCATTAGATCAGATGGATGCTGTTTAAAGGGATTTAATCTTCTTTTTTCATTTTTCCGGTTGTCATTTTAACATAATCCAATCAAAGGAGATCTGCTTGTACTTTTTCTCCGTTTTGACTGTCTTTATATGTAGATATACAGCCTCCTAAACAAACCAAAATCTATTGAGGACTCAAAGTACAATGCAGTGTTTGCTCTTTTGCAGTCTCAGAGTGATATTCTGCTGTGTATGCTCACACATGCATGTGTACGGCACCGTCTTTCACGTTTCATTGAAATCAAACTGGCGCATTTGCAAAGCTCCACAATGCAGTTTGTCAGTAGAAGGTAGGCTGTGTTGACTGTTGTGATGTTTAGTGCTCAGCCTGTAGACACACATTAGCTGCATGGCACTGTCAGGAGTTTTCATCTTTAAGATTGCACTGACTAGCCGCCGTGTCTTTAGACATACCTGCTGTTCCTTTGCATCTACTGACTTCCTGTCAAGAAAAGTGTCTCGTCATCACCTTACGTCTAAACCCTCACCTCCAAAAGAAAGAAAGTATCTATCTTTATCACACAGCTCTCCTCCCTGTGTTTCTGTGTCTGGAGGAGAGCTGCCGGAGTCGTCTTTATGGGCCGATGCTTATCAGTCTGTGTGTGATTGCTCAGCTCTCAGGGCTTCAAGCAGTGGCGCCTCCTCTTATCAGCGCTCATCGCTTTGTCTTTATGTCTTCAAAAGAGCGCACGGCCCTGTTTGTCCCTCCGAGCACAGACGCACCTCCTCTGCCGTGATGTCTCTCTCTTTCTCTCTCTAGTCCAGGCTGTCCTGGAGGATCTAATGCCATCCTGAAGGACAACGGCTCTGCCTTGTTTGCTGTTCAGGGCCAGTTTAGACTGTCTGTCACCCATTTGCAGTTTCTTGACTGCGTGTATGGGCTTGTGTGCTCTATTTAAATGCGTGTAAGTTGCTTTTGTAAGGGAAATTAATAAGCTTAGTTGGAAGCTTAATTGAAGAAAAAGGTACTATATGTAATAAAATGTATACTGTACATATACACATATAATTAGGGACCGAGCACCGAACGGTGCAAGGCCCTATTGGAATTGCTCCGTTTCTTATTATTAGGGACCGAGCACCGAAACGGTGCGTAGGCCCTATTGGAATTGCTCCGTTTATTATTATTATTATTATTATTATTCTCCTGCGGAATGAATCGCGGTTTTGAGGGGCTAAACATGCCCGAAAACTCACGCAACTTTGCACACGCCTCAGAAGTGGCGAAAATTTACGTTTGTTATGGGCTTCGGAAGTGGGCGTGGCAAAATGACTCGACAGCGCCACCTAGAAAAATTAAACGGACGAGCCCCCGATCCACGAATCACGCACATGCACAAAAACTGGCACACACCTCAAACATGCCAAAACATACGAAAAAGTCTCTTGGAGCCATATCTCAAACCCAACAGGAAGTCGGATATTTTTAACTTCCTGCGGCGAAAAAGTGGCGTTTTTGCCATTTCCAGGCGTTGTATTTTAACGAACTCCTCCTAGGGATTTTATCCGATCGACACCAGAATTGGGTTTTGTCATCTAAAGGCCTTGGCGATGTTAAATTGCGAAGCTTTAGAGTTTTCGTCAATGGGCGTGTCCGTGGCGGCCTCGCAAACTTTGACGATTCGCCACAAAAGAGGAAGTAGTTATAACTCAGGCATGCATTATCAGATCTGCCTCAAAATTCACACGCTTGATAAGAGTCCTGACCTGAACACGTTTACATGCCGCTATCCAGATACAGTTACAGCGCCACCTGCTGGCCACAGGAAATGACATGATTTACGGAGTTATAAACTCCTCCCACAAATTTTATCGTATCAACACCAAAATTGAGTGGTGTTATCTGAAAGCTCTAGCGATGTTATATTGTGAAGATCTAGAGTTTTCGCAGAGGGGTGTGTCCGTGGCGGTATGACAAACCTCAACGCTTCGCCATGGAACAGGAAGTCCTTATAACACAACCACACAATGTCCGATTTGCCTGAAACTTCACATGGTTGATAAACGTCATCTCTTGAACACATCCACATAACAATATTGAAGTGGGCGTGGCAAAATGACTCGACAGCGCCACCTAGAAAAATTAAACGGACGAGCCCCCGATCTACGAATCACGCACATGCACAAAAATTGGCACACACCTCAAACATGGCAAAACATACGAAAAAGTCTCTTGGAGCCATATCTCAAACCCAACAGGAAGTTGGATATTTTTTACTTCCTGTGGCGAAAAAGTGGCTCTTTTGCCATTTTCAGGCGTTGTATTTTAACAAACTCCTCCTAGGGATTTTATCTGATAATTACCAAAATTGGGTTTTGTCATCTTAAAGCCTTGGTGATGTTAAATTGCGAAGCTTTAGAGTTTTCATAGATGGGCGTATCCGTGGCGGCCTCGCAAACTTTGATGATTCGCCACAAAACAGGAAGTCTTTATAACTCAGGCATGCATTATTCGATCTGCCTCAAAATTCACACATTTAATAACAGTCCTGACCTGATCAGGTTTACGTGCCGATATCTAGTTACAGTTATAGCGCCACCTGCTGGCCACAGGAAATTACATGTTTGACACTGTAACAAACTCCTTCCACAAACTTTCCCGTATCAGCACCAAAATAGAGTGGTGTCATCTGAAAGCTCTAGCGATGATATATTGTGAAGATCTAGAGTTTTTGCAGAAGGGCGTGTCTGTGGTGGCATGACAAACCTCAACGCTTCGCCATGGAACAGGAATTTCTTATAACTCAACCACACAATGTCCGATCTGCCTGAAACTTCACATGGTTGATAAAAGTCCGCTCCTGAACACATCCACATAACAATATTGAGTCAGTCATAATGCCACCTGCTGGCAGAAGGTAGTTTGGCTTATAACTCAGCCACACAATGTCCCATGTGCCTGAAACTTCACATGGTTGATAAGATTCCTCTCCTGAAGACATCTACATGCCAATCTTAAGTCACAGTTATAGCGCCACCTGCTGACAGGAGGAAGTTTGGCATAAATCTGTGATTTTCTTAGATCTTTTTTTATATATTGGCTTAAATTATTATTGTTCGCTGTTCTCTGTCATCGTAAGGTCACCGGGCGGCGGTGAGCCCGGGTGCGAGGTCCCTATCATCGCTGCTTGCAGCTTTAATTCTTCTTCTTCTTCTTCTTCTTCTTCCGCGGAATGAATCGCGGTTTTGAGGGGCTAAACATGCCCGAAAACTCACGAAACTTCGCACACGCCTCAGAAGTGGTGAAAATTTACGTTTATTATGGGTCTCGGAAAGGGGTGTGGCAAAATGACTCGACAGCGCCACCTAGAAAATTTAAACTGACGAGCCCCCGATCCACGAATCACGCAAATGCACGAAAATTGGCACACACCTCAAACACGCCAAAACATACGAAAAAGTCTCTTGGAGCCATATCTCAAACCCAACAGGAAGTCGGATATTTTTAACTTCCTGCGGCGAAAAAGTGTCATTTTTGCCATTTCTAGCCGTTGTATTTTAACGAACTCCTCCTAGAGATTTTATCCGATTGACACCAAAATTGGGTTTTGTCATCTAAAGGCCTTGGCGATGTTAAATTGCGAAGCTTTAGAGTTTTCGTCGATGGGCGTGTCCGTGGCGGCCTCGCAAACTTTGACGATTCGCCACAAAACAGGAAGTCGTTATAACTCAGGCATGCATTATCCGATCTGCCTCAAAATTCACACGTTTGATAAGAGTCCTGACCTGAACAAGTTTACATGCCGATATCCAGATACAGTTATAGTGCCACCTGCTGGCCACAGGAAATGACATGTTTTACATCGTAACAAACTCCTCCCACAAATTTTTTCGTATCAGCACCAAATTTGGGTTGTGTTATCTGAAAGCTCTAGCGATGATATATTGTGAAGATCTAGAGTTTTCGGAGAGGGGCGTGTCCGTGGCGGCATGACAAACCTCAACGCTTCGCCATGGAACAGGAAGTCCTTATATCTCAAGCACACAATGTCCGATCTGCCTGAAACTTCACATGGTTGATAAAAGTCCTCTCCTGAACACATCCTCATAACAATAATGAAATGGGTGTGGCAAAATGACTCGACAGCGCCACCTATAAAAATTAAACGGACGAGCCCCTGATCTACGAATCACGCACATGCATGAAAATTGGCACACACCTTAAACACGCCAAAACATACGAAAAAGTCTCTTGGAGCCATATCTCAAACCAAACAGGAAGTCGGATATTTTTAACTTCCTGCGGCAAATAAGTGGCATTTTTGCCATTTCCAGGCTTTGTATCTTAACGAACTCCTCCTAGGGATTTTATCCTATCGACACCAAAATTGGGTTTTGTCATCTAAAGGCCTTGGCGATGTTAAATTGCGAAGCTTTAGAGTTTTCGTTGATGGGCGTGTCCGTGGCGGCCTCGCAAACTTTGACGATTTGCCACAAAACCGGAAGTCATTATAACTCAGGCATGCATTATCCGATCTGCCTCAAAATTCACATGTTTAATATAAGTCCAGACCAGAACAAGTTTACATGCCGATATCCAGATACAGTTATAGCGCCCGCTGGCCACAGAAAATGTCATGATTTACAAAGTAATAAACTCATCCCACAAATTTTTTCATATCAGCGCCAAATTTGGGTGGTTGTGTATCTGAAAGCTCAAGCGATGATATATTGTGAAGATCTAGAGTTTTCGCAGAGGGGCGTGTCTGTGGTGGCATGACAAACCTCAACGCTTCGCCATGA